ACTCTCTTCATCTCAATAATCAATCCCAGAAAAAAAAAAAAGGTTCAATTTGAATCTTAGATATGTTCAAAATGAATCCCCTCCAAAAACGAATCTAGACTATTCATTTTGTGAATTTCAAGATCTTAGTCTTTATAAACTCAAAACCATTTTTTTTTTCTTTTATTAACATTGTTCATCTAATAAACCATCCAAAAAAATTAGAAATGAAAAAATCCTTCTAAGACCTAGATCTAAGCTTCTCACAAAAATGAACGTCCTATGTTAATTGGACTAAAAAAATACTTTCTAGATTGTGTTTTCAATTTTTTCTTTTTTTGTGATTGTTTACTAGAATGAAAGGAGTGTATATTTCAAAATTTGGATCAAACAAATAGGCATAAGATAATTTTTTAAGATTGTTGCAAAATATTACTATACAATGGTTGCATGAAATCAATAAGCCTTCCAAGTTTTGGTCCCCAAAATGAACACCTGAAAATTAATTTCTCAAAAAAGGTGGGTCACATTGTTTGGTTGATTGGTACAAGCTACAAACAGAGATGTCTAAGCAGAAAGAGCATGAGGTTGGTACTTCGTAGTACATAAATCTTTTTTCTAATAATGTAACTCGCTGATGTAATTTTTTTTTATTAATAAATTTAGTAATATTTGTAAACAAAAATTATATATAAATCTTTTGAGGACCAATTTTCACTAACAAGTGGCTTTTTCGTAGGTACCAAAATTAAAATTCCCCCCTTGGACTAGTCCACATGGAATAAGACATCTGGTTTAAATAAATTTCTGAATTTAGTCAAATAAAAAAAACATATTGGTCTAAATTTAGGAGAAAAATAGTTTCTCGATGCTTATATTTTTCATACTTCTTAGAAAATCCCTATATTTACTTTGGACAATAAATCCTTCTTAGGGTAGTGACGGACTAAAATTTGCATTTCCAATTTCTAGAGCGCAAAAAGGGGTGTTGAAACAGGTATGATAAGACCTACTATTTTCCAGTCCTATGGGTTTGATTTCTTAGAATTTTCAAACAAAACTAAAATATGTTTTAGTATTTGCACATTTTACCTTGATGTCTAAATTTTTTGAGTTTTTATTTTTGTTATTTCCATTACTCTTGGTTTACAATTCCAACTTCCTAACGGCTAAAGTACAAAAAAGCAAATCCAAATCCAAATCCAAAAAGAATTGATGCGTGGATCGTTCGAAATAGGACTTCTGGATCACCCAAAACACAAAAAAATTGAGGAGCTGGAGGTTCAAGAACCAAACCTTTAAACCTTGTTGAATATATAAAAAGCTAGGGGCACGTTTGATACATGTGAAAATACTCCTTGTGTGATTAGGTGCGGGATTTTTTTTATACAAATTGGTGAATAGGCATTTTTTTTACACCAATTAATACCCAATTAGTGTGAAAAAACTCCCACATTTAATTACGTAGCAGAGTTCTTTTAAGCGAAAATATTTTTGCAGATGTATTTTTGGGAATACGAAATATGGCCTTAGATATTTAACCACATAAGTGAGTGATGTTCTCAAGGTCCAGCTTCCAAACTGCACAAATACCTATTTTTCCTTTGGGCAGTTCAAAAGTCCTATTTTCAAGCTACCTCAATGCCTACTTTTTTAGGGTTGATGATCAAAAGTTGCATTTTCAAAGCAATGAAACATAGTTTTTTTTTTTTTTTAAATTTTAGAGTGTTTGAAAGTTGAAGTTTGACCTGGAGGTAAAATGAAAATAGAAAACCACTAAAGTCAAAGTAATCTGCAACTTATTTTGAATGGGTGTGGTCAGTATAAGGTGTCAACCTTAAACAATCAAAGTAAGGCGCACCTCTAAATCTTGTTAAACGTTGTTGTTCCAATGTGAGAAACCATAACAATAGCCTAAATATCTATTTTTGCACCTAATTATGAAATTTAATGATGTAGATTGAGTAGATAATGTGTTACAAGATGCATTATTTTTATGACTTGAAATGTATATGTATATATTTTTTCTATATCTATACATCTTATAGCGAGATGATCGATTATATGGATTTTCAACATGGGAACAACCTTTTCAAGTGAATTTTTAAGATGCACCTTATTTCTACTACATAAGGTAGATAATGTGTTACAAGATGCATTATTTTTATGACTTGAAATGTATATGTATATATTTTTTCTATATCTATACATCTTATAGCGAGATGATCGATTATATGGATTTTCAACATGGGAACAACCTTTTCAAGTGAATTTTTAAGATGCACCTTATTTCTACTACATAAGGTTGATTACTTGCTAGAAAACTTAGGTGCAATCTCATCCCATCATAATCCAACAATTGCTCTTTGATTATTGAGAAAATAAGTTGCAATGTGATGCAGATAAAAAATTACAAAAACTCAAAATTTTAGTGTTATTATTATTTTTTGTTTATTTTTCTTAAGATTAAGAAGTGCGCTGAGATAAGTTAGGTGACAGGATTTTGTGCTTAAGTTTTAGTAGGAGTGTGAGTTATCACCCAGGAAAGCCTAGTTTAGGAAAAAGCTCATGTTTTAAGATAAGTAGAATTATCTTTTATTGCCTTCTAGAAATAGAGGATAACATGAGATTTATAGAGAGATATAAATAGAGATTTATGTGGCAGCTAGAGAGATATAAGAGAGAAGTAGTGATGAGTGAGAGTGAGAGAGAGAGAGTGTGTTTATTTTTTGTTGGTTTATTTATTTTATCTTTCTTTTAAGTGTATTTAATGGGGAGATCTCCATTTTCTATACAAAAAAAATTTGGTGATTCCATAAAAAATTAATCCGAGGTAGACTCCTTTGCGGAGCCAAAGAGAAGGTATAATCTCTAAAAAAAAAAAAGTATTTTGTTTTTATTTTTCCTGTTTTTTTTTTCCTTTGTCACAATGAGAACCATCGTTGTCCAAGTCCAATAGTTAACGGTGATTGCAAGGATAAGTAGATGTAGCCATCCTTCCTGTATCCACTGGCTTGTGTAGACAAGCACTTATGTAAGCACTAAAATACAATTGAGACATAATGAGTACCTTCAATCTTTTTTTTGCTTTCTTATCATCATCAAAGCTTTTTTCTAACTAATTGAAGTTAGCTAATCTTTTTTTTCTTCTAGTTATTAATAAATAAGAGGAAATATTTGGCCTACTCCATTTATTTCCATTTATTTACCGAAAAATGTCTCCCCATCGTTTTAAGGAAAAGCAGGTATTTATAAATGACCTATTCATACCGATTGCTTAATTGATATAGAGGACTATCCAAAATGGGCCTTTATTTCCACTTAGATGTTATATAAATAGACTATAAATGTGTTTATAGCTTAAATGAGTGGGGGACCTAAGGATCTCTCCACTTTGATTTTCCCTAAATAATGTCACTTAGATTCGAATCAATACGTAATCAGGGCTCTCTTATATTATGAATGAAAGAGTATCTCAATATGGGATGTCAAGGTGATTGGTGCACCCTGTTGGGGCGTGTTTTTAAAATACGAATGAAAATAATCTTATTTATTTATTTATTTATTTTTATATGACTTAGTGGAAATTCAAGCCAAAGTGTTTATTTACCAGCTGGGTATTTAGTCCCAAAGTGGCTATCTACTCATATGCTTATCTCTGTATACAGGAACCGAATAAGTAGCTTGTGGAAGATGCTTTGAAGAATTGGAGCACGAAAAATACATATTTGGAATAAAAATTTAATAAATAATTTCTATTCATCATTGAATATGTTTTTACAATCTATGTAAAAACCGATGCATATTGTTAGGGGAAAGTTAAACTTTGATAATTAGCATATTTATTTTTTTACGCCTTGGTACAGGATACTCAAAACAAAGAAATTATGGTTGAATAAATGGCGAATTTATTTTTTTGCAGTTCTAGCCTACTTCCTCTCTACATTACTCTAATCGATTATGCCTCTTTGGAAAAAGTATTCAAGATTAAGTATGTTTGGATGATTAATATTTAATAGAAGCCCATAATCCAAAGAAGTATTCAAGATTAAGTATGTTTGGATGATTAATATTTAATAGAAGCCCATAGATAATGATGGGTTCATCATTTTCTCTTTCTTATCTCTCTTTAATCATGTTCTTTGAAAAACGATTCAAAATTTATTTTAACAATTAATATTTAATATCAAATGCATGTTAGCAAATACGCAGAAATCCAAGACATTAGCATGGACCATGACAAGGGAAAAAATAGATTTTAAGTATTGGAGTGCATCTTGTAATGTATTATCTAGACAGTCAATTTTCATATTTTTCAAGTGTTCATAGATATTTTTGATCTACACTATTTTTTAATATTTAAATTTAATAATTAGAGATGAAAATAAAGTTTCAGGTCATCATATGGATTTTTTATACTAAAACAACATTTCAACAGTATTTGAAAGTACGCCTTACTTTGATTGTTTAGGGCCTCAGCCTCATCCAAACCACACCCTTATGTGAATTCAACAATAAAATAAAGGCTCCACTAAACAACAAGTGTATCTACGATCAGATTGGGCGGAAGACATTGAGGAGGACAAACAAAATAAAGCGACATACAATAAAAAGAAAATTGGGTGGTATTTTCCATGGCTTTTTAGTCTAGTGTGATGAGACCTCAGATAATAAAAAGCAAAGGGAAAATTGGAAAAAATAAAATAAAATATGAGAAATGATCCCATAGGACCCTCCTCCACCCAGTGTATAGAATCTCAAAGGAACACCATTAAATTTGATACGGATCTATAGAAAAGTTAAGTCCTACACCCATGTGATAACTTTTCTAGAGATCCATATCAACTTTAATGGTGATCATTTGGAATTCTACACACATGAGTGGGGGAGGGTCCTATAGGACCATTACTCATGAAATATATATGCAACATAAAAAAAGAAGTAGAAAAAAGGTATGTACATAATCTAATTAGAATGAACCATTGAATCAAGCAAAAATATTGAAATTATCGGATGGAAGAAAGAACCAACACGATTCTTCATATCAATTTCTCTGTTCTCCATGCATTTCTTGCCTTTTACGAGATTGCTCGACATCTAAGCTTGAACGGTCTCCATGGGGGAAAGAGGACACGTGTCGGGATCTAGAGAGGCGCCCTTGAAGAGGAGCATGGCCAGGTTGCCCATGCAAAAGTAGATGAAGCAACCGGTGCAATGAGTAACAAAGGAGCCAAAGTTGGTGCCCACAATGCATTGCCACCCCAGCCCGTACAATCTATCAAATTCCTGTTCACACTTGTACATTTATAAGCACTTTCCCATCATTTTATCGTGTTAAAAATTCTTCTCTGCAAATTGTTAGTAAAATACTCAAGGGTAATAATATTGTAATGAGAAAGTATATGATGAGATCATTTATCTTTTGTACAAGGTAGTCACAATTAATCTTGACTATTGGATGTGAAATTTGGCGACAGCGTTTATTTCATTGACCAAGCTCAAAGTTCAAAAGATTTTGTCGAACTTTGTGACACACCCAACCTGTCAGATTTTATATCGGATGGTTGTAAGTAATTGTAACCCCCATGTACTGAGGTGAATCGTCTCATTGTATACAATCCCTAATGTAATTGATAGGATCATGGAATGGAAAACACCAATTTTTCTTTATATTTGAAATGAAAAGTGGAGAAAGACCGGAAAAACCTTATCCCTTGAAAATGGGGCCGACAAATTAAAAAATTGATTATATTTCAAAAAGAGATAAGGGCTCGTCAACTGAAGGCTAAAATTCTCTTTGGGCAATACGAGGAGTAATTGAACACCTTTGTGATAATGTTGAAAAACAGTTGGCCTTTTTGATGAAGCAGGCTATATGGGTGGAGTCGATGACATCAAAAGAGTCGAGTGCTTGAGCGGCGAGCTTCACCGCATCTTCTTGCATTGTCTGCAGCATGTATGTCTCCCCAATCACTGCTTTACCTTCCAGCATCCTCACTGCAATTTCTTTCCCTTGTCTTTTTAGAATTAAGTCCTCCGTCCTGCTCTCTCTCACAGAAGCGGAGAGTTGAGTTGCTCCCAAATTAATAGCCTCGCCTCAACTCATTCATACAAAGCAAAAACCAAAAAGGGATGTGGTTCTTAGCAGAACCCCGAGTGTCAACTCATGGTTGAGCTTTTCCTGAAAAAATTACAAAAGGTTGTGGTCCGTATATGAGTGGTTGTGAGGAGGTGGAATTTGCTTTCATGGTTGCCGGTTGTATTTGATAATGCCGTAGGGATCCGTTGTGGATTTATGGTGCAAAGTAATTTACCATGACATCCAAATCGTTCCCAGAAATTACAGTCCCGGTGAATTTCAACATGCAAGAAAGATTACCATGGTTCTGAACTCAGTAGCAATCCCCTACTTAGGCCCGGTTTTCGAGTCAAAATTATCCCTAGTTTGGGTTTTGATCTTTTGTGGGAGTCCCACTGCAATGGAAACGGCAACAAAAGAACATATAAACTAGGATCCAACAAACTTTCTGTGGTCCTATCTCCCTTTCGCATGCTGAGAGTTTGATGCCACCTCTTTAAGTCTCCCTCTTTTGATTATTAGAACTACGAGAATTGTTCGCAATGCAAACTCTAGGCCTCAATGGATAGCCAGAAAGTTTTTACTTTCACTAAAGGCGATTTGTTGCTAGAAAGAGAAAGAGGGCACGGGTCCCCTTTTTGTTTAGAAAAAAAAAAAAAAAAAAAAAAGAAAAGAAAATGAAGAAGAAGAAGAAGAAGAAGGAAGTCTTGGAATATTTATGTGCAATCCAACCTTTTTTCTACAAACCCTTTATAAAGAGGTCCACACTCCCTCGATTCTCTCCACACCTGGTTATCCAAATCAAGTTGGGGGTTAACCCAATTCAGAACAGGTAGTCATTCATATCGAAATTGGATACGTTTTCAACTAACAAACTCTATCCAAAAGATTATCTCATTTCTCCACCCATACAAACAAAACTGTTTCTATGGAGGTACACTCACATCCAAGGGGCAAACCATCCTAATCATGTTGGAAAGATTAATCCAAAAATTTATTTTTCAATAATGGTACAAAATCCATATTGTATAGTATATGTGAAATCTAATGTGGTTGACATGAGGCAATGCTATATACTAAGATCCATTTTGGAGCTTTTGTAGGATGTTGCATTGGTGAAAAAACCCAGTGCCACGGGAGGAAAAACCCAATGATGTATTTGGATTCTTTATAAGAATTGTTTTTTTTTTATATTATAGATGTATAAAATTATTTAATTTTTAAATATCTTTTATCAAATTGTAGCAATGCTTTGATGACAGCCTATTATGTGAGTCATTGGTGTACTAATGATATATTTAGCTCATTATATAAGATTAACAGTTTGGTGACAACTTGTCAATCCTAATTGGCTGCACTTAAGGAACTTAATGTATGAGTTATATTTGGATCTCAACTCTTATAAACCATGAATATGAGAGTTACAAAAGATGATTCTCTATAAAAAGAGGTTAACCCCTCAATTAAGAGAGCGAGGATGATGGAAAATTGGTGAAGGTGATTCACTAAGAGGACTCTCAAAGTAGTATGTTATCGGATGACTTGGTCTATAGGTTTTGGTATGGAATCTTAAGTCCCTCTTGTGATTTAAGAACAGATCCGAATAAGTTGTTTATCGTTTTTAGTTATTTATTTATTGATTTTCATTAGCGAGACTAACAAATCCAATACTCCCACTTAACCTATATTGGATGGTCATAAATATGTCAGTCCCCCAACCCTAATCGGTGATACATCATAATGCAAGAACTCTCTCATACGTTATCGGAAACATGTGCCATTAGATCTTAAAAAGCAGTGCATCTCTACAAAATAACCACATTAATTTTCTAGCAAACTAATGTGGGACACCTGTTTTCTTTTATCCAAAATAGTTCTAGCCTATTTTAGACACACTTGACCCAACCTACTTTAGACACACTTGACCCACCGATGAGCATCTCTACTAGTCCCTTGTGAGTTATTTAATGCTCAAGAGACTACTCAACTTGTTTGTGCACAAATACCTAGATCATCTAAGAAAAGAGCAGTTCTTATGCACACCAATAATTTATTTGCCAATAATATAATATATTGAAGTTTTACAAATCCTTCTACGAAAGAACATCCTAGATAAAATTTTGTGTGCAAATCAGCTGATGAGCATCACGTTCTGCAATGGTTATTTGGTGATGAAAAGAGCATATGGGATATTAGGAATAGGGTAAATTAGAATTGAAATTGTATATTATGAGACTATTTATCTTTATTACATGGAGGTCACAATTATTATTAGCTATTAGATGTTAAATTGGATAGTTTAGAGTAAGACACAAAGTTTGAGAACTTTTATTTTGAACTTTGAGTTTGCTTAATGACACACTCACAACCACTAATTTGAAATTTGATGGATAAAAGTGATTGTGACCCCTTTGAATTAAAAGTAAATGGTTTCTTTGTATATTTTGTTATTAGAATAATTTTTTTTATGTTTTTTATAAGGATTTTATATGTTGAAGTTAGACTTATTTACTTATTTTTATGATTTTTAGGGTTAAATTTGAGGGTTTGTTATGTGAGGGGTTAAAAAAGAATTATTGTTATTGTTATTGTTATTGTTATTGTTATTGTTATTGTTATTGTTGTTGTTGTTATTGTTATTGTTATTATTAGTATTATTATTATTACTAGTATTACTATTATTACTAGTGTTACTATTATTATTAGTATTACTATTATTACTAGTATTACTATTATTACTATTACTATTATTACTACTATTATTACTACTATTATTATTACTATTATTATTATTACTATCATTATTATTACTATTATTATTATTACTATTATTACTATTATTACTATTATTATTATTATTGTTACTATTACTATTACTATTATTACTATTATTATTATTATTATTATTATTAATTTTATTTTATTTATTTTTTTTATTTATTATTTATTATAATAATAATAATAATAATAATTATTATTATTATTATTATTTTTATTATTACTACTACTACTACTAACTAAAAAAAAAAAGGGTGATGGGATGCATATTTGGACTTTTTATTTTTTATTTTTAGTTTTTTTGAAGTCTGAATAAAGAAGGGTTAGATGATATCCTTAGATAGGCTTTGCTATTTTTTTATGAAGAATTTTTTTTCAGAAACAAGAAAAAGGTCTTTTTTACTCTTGGTTTGATTTACAACTATATTTTTCTCTTAAAGAGAGTGAATTAGTTTCTCACCTTCCTTTAGCATCATTTAGTATTTGAGCACGGCTCAGAGATGATTAATGATTACAATGACTGGTTGTAGAGGTTGCCACTATAAGAGTGTCGATCTGACTGAATGTACATAGAAAATCAGTAACTTGATGGAGACGGTCAATAAGTTGTCGCATAAATAAAGATTGCAATCACATACATTGAACAAGATAAAATCTACGGTATTAGATATATATTGTGCGTGTTTTCTTAGTGATCAACGTAAATTAGAGCATCAATCTAAGTGGCAACGACTTGATATTATACTTGATTGTACCAATGGATTCGATGCAGGATGGTATTTATGGGATCATGAATTCAAATAAGAGTTAGGTAACCACTACCCCAACCCAAAGACGAGGTATTTGGCATAGGGGAGTAGTATGAGATAAGTGTAGAGATGAGCAAAGAAATAATTTTACCACATACAACAAAACTGCCACATGTGTATCGACAAAGGTATGTAACTTCTTGACTAAACAAAATCCTCGTTTTCTCACTATAGAGGTTAATGGATTCAAAGATACAGAAAACCCTAAATCTAGTGACAAAATAATAGATGTATTCCACGATCAACCTATTAAAAATGGAGATGCAATTAGGGGTATGTTTAAAATTTTTAAAAATGAAAGGAAAAAATATTCTAAATCTGATGATAAAGAAATTCAGCATTGTGTCAATTGGAAGGAAATTTTAAGTTTTAACATAATTTTTTTGAAGACAATGTTGAATTTGCAAGTGAATTACTCTTAGTATAGACCAAAAAGCAACCCACATGCATAGTCAAAAGGTATTTGGGATTTGATGAGAAAAAAAAGATAGTGGTTTCTGATCAAAGTAAAATATGGATAGTCGGACATGAACTATTTTTGTTGTCGTTGAGTGAGGAGATTTCATCCAAGTCTTCCTAAGAGGAAGGTGTGACTCTACACTCAATACGACAACCTCTAGAGAAAAGTGGCGTTGGAGATGGTGCTAGTAATGTTGTTGTTTCTCTCAATGTTTTTTTGAGCCAGAGGGGCAATGGGAGATGCGCACTATGGAAAGGAAGGTATTGTCAGCTTGGCTTCTTGATTATTGCTTTGATGTAATTACTGTCGATCAAGAAATTGAAAATTGATGTCCTCAATGGTGAAAGAAAGGTTGAGTTATTGTTTTGTTCTAAGTGAAAGATCCCTACAAAATTTAGCTTGAAAGAAACTATGGCTTGAAAGTAGGACTTATCTTAGTCCACTTTAAAATTTATGCCGGAATTTTCTCAGTCTTTTTTTATGATGGCTTACAAGGTTTGAGGGAGATGGAGGCCCATAGTTTTCGATTCTCTTATCCTACTCTTGTTGGTACCAATAAAGCACAAAGCATTTTGAAATAATTAAACAACCCATATTGAAACTACAAGATGTAGATTTGGTGGTGATCTTTGTACTGAAAAAACACCTTTAATAGGCTATTGCATAGTTAGCGACCTCCTTGCTGCAAATTCGAGGCCCAATCTCATAAATTAAATGAGTTCATATTACTTTTTTGATTGGATCTCTCATAGAGGGCATGAAATCAAGTGATCTGAAGCCCTTTCTTATCATACTTTTCCATGGTTTAAAGCTAAATTATTTTTCCTTTCCTACTATTATTAGTTTACATTCGTGTTTGAATTCAGAAACTCTGCTGTTCAGTTTCTAGTTCACGGTTTATGTGGTAACTGGGGCTTAGATTCAGATGATTTTTTGGGGAATCTTTACACCCTACTTTCAGCTGCGTGGCCGTATCTTTCTTCCTTATACTCAAGGAAAATAACCAGCTGAGCTTTGAAGCTGTAGTC